CCATCCCCTGAGTGGGCTGGTGCGCCTCCCACAAGGCCCAAGGCGCAGCTAGGAGGAGAAAGGGGAAACCCTAGGCTCAGATGGGCCTAAGGCCCACCCTAGGGGGCGCCCCCCTCTCCCCCTCTTGGCCGCCTCCCCTTTTCCCATCTAGGGCTGCCGCCCCCTAGGGGTGGGAACCCTAGAGGGGGCGCTCCCTCCTCCCCTTCCCCTATATATACTTGAGGCCTAGGGGCTGCCCAACACGCGATTTGATCTCTCCCTGTTGGTGCAGCCCTACCTCTCTTTTCCTCATATCTCGTAGTGCTTGGCGAAGCCCTGCTGGATCACCACGCTCCTCCACCACCACCACGCCGTTGTGCTGCTGCTGGATGGAGTCTTCCTCAACCTCTCCCTCTCTCCTTGCTGGATCAAGGCATGGGATACGTCACTGGGCTGTACGTGTGTTGAACGCGGAGGTGTCGTCCGTTCGGCACTAGGATCTCCGGTGATTTGGATCACGACGAGTATGACTCCTTCAACCTCGTTCTCTTGAACGCTTCCGCATAGCAATCTACAAGGGTATGTAGATGCACTCTCCTTCCCCTCGTTGCTGGTTTCTCCATAGATAGATCTTGGTGACACGTAGGAAAATTTTGAATTTCTGCTACGTTCCACAACAGGTTTTCCCCCCTTCCCCAGTTGGAGTAGGATAAGAAGGAAGAGGGAGAGGGAGAGAAGGAAAGGCTCCCCCTAATTCGGATTAGGCTTGGGGCGCGTGCGCCTCCCACTTGGCCGCCTCCTCCTCTCTTCCACCATGGCCCATTAAGGCCCATTAACTCCCCGGGGGTTTCGGTAACCCCCCCCCCCATGGTATTCCGAAAAATGCCCGAACTCATCTGAAACCTTTCCGGTGTCCAAACATAGCCTTCCAATATATCAATATTCATGTCTCGACCATTTCGAGACTCATCGTCATGTCCATGATCACATCCGGGACTCCGAACAACCTTCGGTACATCAAAACACATAAACTCATAATACCGATCGTCATTGAACGTTAAGCGTGCGGACCCTACGGGTTCGAGAACTATGTAGACATGACCGAGACTCATCTCTGGTCAATAACCAATAGCGAAACCTGGATGCTCATATTGGCTCCCACATATTCTACGCAGATCTTTATCGGTCAAACCGCATAACAACATACATTGTTCCCTTTGTCATCGGTATGTTACTTGCCCGAGATTCGATCGTCGGTATCTCAATACCTAGTTCAATCTCGTTACCGGCAAGTCACTTTACTCGTTCTGTAATGCTTCATCCCGCAACTAACTCATTAGTCACATTGCCTGCAAGGCTTATAGTGATGTGCATTACCGAGAGGGCCCAGAGACACCTCTCCGACAATCGGAGTGACAAATCCTAATCTTGATCTATGCCAACTCAACAAACACCATCGGAGACACCTGTAGAGCATCTTTATAATCACCTAGTTACGTTGTGATGTTTGATAGCACACTAAGTGTTCCCCCGGTATTCGGCAGTTGCATAATCTCATAGTCATAGGAACATTTATAAGTCATGAAGAAAGCAATAGCAACAAACTAAACGATCATCGTGTTAAGCTAACAGATGGGTCTTGTCAATCACATCATTCTCTAATGATGTGATCCCGTCAATCAAATGACAACTCATGTCTATGGTTAGGAAACTTAACCATCTTTGATTAACGAGCTAGTCAACTAGAGGCATACTAGTGACACTCTATTTGTCTATGTATTCAAACATGTACTAAGTTTCTGGTTAATACAATTCTAGCATGAATAATAAACATTTATCATGATATAAGGAAATATAAATAACAACTTTAATATTGCCTCTAGGGCATATTTCCTTCAACTTAGTGCTTGGTGATCACCACCCGTAGTATCTATCGGGTCTGGTAGGAAAGTGGGGAGGCGGAGGCACTCGAGTGTCCCAAGGTTGGGCCTCGTTCTCCGCTGCAGCCAACTCGTTCTTGTAAGCAGTAATATTTGGTGGCATGATGGTGTATCCTTTCTAGCATGAGAGTCAAACAAATAAGGTGCAGGCAACGGAATAATATCACGAGTATTCTCACTAAATACCAAGTTATAACGAATGTGGTGAGGAGGCTCGGTGTTATCGATAAAGTGGTGATCTATCATAGACTAGTGATCTAAGTAGATGCTAGGCAGCAAGTAATCATTGTGGCATATATCAACATGGAAACGTCTCGCTAGGAGAGTAGCATAAATACCACCATGATTTTTTTCCCTAGTCATGTTAGTGTGCAAGCGGCGTGCAATGATAGCTCCAAGGCTATAAGTGTTATCGTTGTGAAGTGCACGGTGTAAAATGGCAAGGTCAGGGGCACTGAGCGTACCACCTTCCTCCCTAGCAGTCAAGCATTTCTCTATGAATAAACCAAAGTAGTGCACAATAGGAAAATGGAAGCTAGTAGCTCGGGATCTCGACACGCCCATATACTCTCCCACAGTTAAAGTACGGAGGAAACCCTCGAACTCCTCTGGTCGAGGCTCCCTCAATTCCCCATCAGAAGGAACCAAACGCATCTCACAAAACTCAGTAAGTGGTATCTCATGATGTTCAACATATAAATCAAAACATACCATGGGAATATCGAGCCTATGCATGAAATAGAAATTTTGCACAAAGGAATTTGTAAGGATGTGGTATTGGTCACACTCATCTGCAAGGAAGTCGGTCAACCCGGCATTTGCAACGAATTGCGTGAACTCTTAATGAAAAACGGCTTCGTTCATGAAAGCATTGTGTTGTCATTTGCATGGTTGGACCTCCATCCTACGCGGAATGTTAAGGTCACGGTCCGAGGCATCCCCAGTGATCCCCTTGGGACTCCGGCTCGAAGAACCTCTCCGAAAGAAGTTCATTTTCCTAAGAACAAATTTCTAAAATTTTGGACCACAAAAAGATGTCAATAAAATTTCACAAGATCGATAGCAACTACTCATATGAATGTCTAGAGGTTATATCAAGCATTCAAACTACTTGGAACTCAAAGAATTCAACATGCAAGCTCATTTCAGTAGCACCAAGAGCAGCTAATTAAGCAAAGTATAATCCACAAAAGCAAAAACTAATTGGAGCAATGGAGGAGTCACATACCAAGGAGCAATCCTCCAAAAATAGTTTTAGAAATGGAGCTCCAAGCAAAGAGATCAAAAATATTAGGTTTGGGAGCAAGAACAAGAGGGAGAGAGCATCCGAGACTTTTTTCTGGAGGTAAGAGATGAAGTGGGCTGAATGGATGGTGAAGCAGTCGGTAGACCTTCAACTTGTTGAGCTCTTCCTTCTAATGAACTTCCTCGACAGTCCAATGATGTGTTGAGTTGGCGCCTCCACCCGCTCCGTCTGCTTGCCATGGTGAGGGAGCATAGTGAAGCACACGATGACGTTGACGTATCTTTGCCCCTGCTGGCGTCTGTGGTCGATGGGGATGAGTTAGAGACAAGGTAGATGAGGCCGTTGGGTGATAAAAGCTGCACTACCATTGAGGTCTCCAGTCAACTTCTGCTTCCCCTTTCAGGCGAAGGCCAGCATGCCCTTGCGCGCCTCCGCCGGAATCTCTGACCATCGTCGTAGGATGGCGTAGCCCCATGATTCTTTAGATCCGGCCCTGACAAACACCTCATCATGATTTCTAGGAGAGGGGATGGGATGAGGTGCCGCGCTAGTCCGGGGAAGCATAGGAAACGGGACGGTGGCGCTTCATGGGAGAGGAGGAATGGAACGTGGGGAGGGCTCCACGAACGGGAGCCATGTATGGACCACAATAGGAAGGCGGCGTCTGGGGTCCTCGCTTGATTACTTACCATGATTGATTCCTTCCGATGAATTTATTGTTTACCATTCTTACCAAAGAAGAAATTGATTGCCGTCCGGAAATTTATTGCTTTGCCAAAGAAAAGATTGATTACCAAAGATTGATTTGACTGCCAAAAATTAAAGCGTAGGAGGGGCTCTCATG